ATAACATTGAATCCATTGGCTAATCATATATTTCTATGTATCAATCGTTATAATTTAGAATATTATAAATAAATTTCATGTCTTCATTCAACTTTTGCTAGCTATCTATTCAGGTATAGTTTTCGTTTATTATCATCTGTTGAATTATTTTCTTTGCTATAGATAATTCTTCTAGATAATGGATTCCTATAACAGTTAGATTTAGAAAATTGTTTCCTGTAAGATCGATACTGAAATAAAAAATAGAAAAAGCCGGATTCATTGTAATAAACATCAAATGACTAAGTAACCAATTACTGGTACTGATGCACACCTAAATGTTATTGATATTATACGGTCTTTTATTGTATATCAACAATGTCTATGAGGAAGTGCAAATTTCTACTCTATATACTTCAATAGTATTTCAGAAAAAATAGAAAATATTTACTCATCAATTATTATATCAAATGAAACCTATTGATCTCGATTTACATTTTTTTTTGACTCGATTGAAATTTCTCCTCGATATTATTTTAGATTGATTTTTGTGTTTGATAATCAGTATATATAGCGAAAAAATACATAGGAAAAAAACAAGAGGCCATATATTTTTACTACAATGTACAATAAGAGAGAATTGCTCATTTGTCTTTTCTTTGTTATTCCTATGTATGGACACATCACTTCAATTATCGTCTGAATATTCAAATAGCTTGTTTTTATCAATTATTGTATCTAAATAGATACTCAGACAATAATAGAAGCTATGTATAGAAGAATAACGACAAGACAAATATACGATTTCCTCTTACTGTGTACATTGTAATAAAAAACTATAGGCGTTTTTTTCTTATATATATTTTGTTTTTTGTACTTGTTATTTATGATTAATATGTTATGCGATACAGTGAAACGTGTATTTTCTTTTGTTTATACTAATTATGAAAAAAAAAAACCAACCTATAATAATCTTAAGCGAGAATAATGAACAAGAAGAATTTCAATTGAGTTGCACTGTAGTTGGAATATATTATTAGATTATATTCAAATTTATACTTTTATCAAGAATAATTGATAGATTAGGTCTATGTTTTTTATATAGTAAATAGAATGTATAACTAACGAATGCTATTATTAAAACTAAGAGTCTATTGTCAGCAATGTCTATATAAATGTAAGAACTGAATAATATGTAGAATTATTATAACATATTCTATTTTATATTCATACTTGATTGAGTACAATAACCATATGTTTTTCAATAAGTTCTATTGATGTTGATGATTCACATGATCGAAGAAGATTGAGTAATGGTTTAAACTACAAAAAAACAAAAAAACAAAAAAAAAATTTTAATGAATTTTGTTTTTTCTTTTTCATACAATTTGTTTATGAAAAAGAAGTTCATGTCGAGAACGACTAAGAAGATATTCAAAACAACGTAATTGATGATATTTAAGTTCTGATGCATATTCAGGACAACTTAATGACCAAATAACAAATGTATCAAGTATAGATTCAGCAATAAAATATAAAAGTACAGGACCGGGACGATCGTGACTAGCGACTTCATTGGTAAGTAATGTGACTGCATGTTGAAAATGAGATATAACACAAGTTATATCATCTTGATCAATTAAAGATTTTTGAAATATTTGTAAAATTTGTTTCCAATGTTGTCGAAGAACCTTAAAAAAACCAGGATTATCTAATATAATATATTTATCGATCTAAGATTATTTTTTTTTACTTCTTCAGCTACTTGCATAACTTATATTGATAACATATATGTAACTGAATCTTATGGTCGAAGTTGTTTTTTTCCTTTTCTCTCGTTGTCTCAATTCCGATATATAAGAATCCGTACAATATCTATCAGTATGAGTAACAGTTTCAGCAACAGACAAAAAAACAACAATCTAATAAATAGAACATCAACGATTTATCTTTCTCTTATTATACAAATTTTTTTTTTATTCTAGTCACGTAAATTGTCTAAATTCCGACGAAATTCTTACTTATTTAATCATATTATAATAATGTCATATAGAATCAAGGACATGATACTATTTCGATAGAAGAAAAATATTCTTTAGACTAACCGTTAATTCAATACTAGTCCCGTCGTCCAAGCTTTCAATACTATGATGCCGTTTCCAACGAAGAGTCATTGTGTATGTACCAAGACATCTAAAAAAAGAAATATGTACAATACAATTGATCGGAACTTTTGAAAACAAAGATTGTAATTGTTCCTTTCTCTACTATGACATTTGCATATATGAAAAGAAAAAAAAACATGTCAAAGCATGCTTGAGTAGGTATAACATACAGTCAATCGATCGATCATAAATCGACAAGCAAACACATAGTCAATCGTTATCGAATAAAAATAACAAAAAAGAAACGTGTGACTCATATCAATCGATAGAAGACAACTCAATTCAACTGCTGTACAATTAGTTTCGATGATGATACACCAATGAAAATAGTTCTATAAGACTTCATAAATAGTTTATGATTGAAATGGATATAACTTCAATTTCATATTTGAGAAATGATGAATAAAGAATGAATATCATTTGTTATTAATGAAATATTTACTTTCTGTTATATAGATGTCACTCATTATATTAAACATCTATATTTTTATTAAGCATTTGTAAGAAATATCGTTTAACATATAACTCTTTTGTTAATATATCAACAGATGCTACATAATAAATAGTCTATTTTGATTGTTTTTTTAGAGTCAATAGTAACAATAGTCTGTTGTACATCAAAATACAGCGCATTACGTTTTTTCTTCATAAATCAAATTTTTTAGTATCAAATACTGAATGTTGTAGAATATTTTATTATTGTTCAGAAACCAATAGATTCATTCTTTAATATTCTCTCAAATTTTTTCATTGTTTTAATTTTCGCACCTATACAATTAAGTACTTGCTAATTAGGTTAACCTTACTCTAACGGAAGAAATTTTTTAAAAGACAAGTTCAACAGTTTTGTAAAGAATCGAATTCTAAAAGAATTATTAAATAAATGTCTTAACAATAGAAAATAAAATTAGATCACTCATTCTTGAAGTACTCGCTATATGATGGAGCAAACAATTGGCTTTTATTTCAAAGATAAACAATCATAAATGATTCCATTATTTGAGAAGAAAATAATAGTTCTATTCATTGTTGACTCAGACGAATTATTTCTTGACAAACAATGATTGTTTTTAATCACCACACGCCTACATGTTAATATCTTGACAAGTGTGAAAATGAAACTTTTTAATATGACAATTCAATAAGTACTTAATCAACTAGATCTAAATCATTTTTAGCATAGTATTGAATCTGTCATAAAAATAATAAATCATTTACATAATTTGTAGTCTTTATTTTCCAAGAAATCAAATACTTTTTGTTGATTGAAATTGACTATAATATCATATTTATTCTGTTAAGTTATATTTCACGAACTGGATCAATACCAAATATGTATTTTTAAATATTCAATATAACCCATAATATGAATACTCAATGAATTTAGTCACAAAAACAAAAACCTGTTTAGAGATACTAATGATTTTATAATTATTTTTGATTATATAAATCATCAGTAATAATTACATTTTGAGATATCTAGATAGTCTTATCAGAGATGTTAACAAATATCGCATATCTCGTCTTGAATATATTGATATACGAATTTGTAATCTATTGATTAATCAAGATCTTTGTAAAACTAGTCTTTGAATTAAGTAATATAATATTTTTATTTTCATGCTAATAAATAGTCGAAGACAATTCAAATATGCCGATAGTGATCTTCATCGTCATAGATAAATATTCTTCGTCTGGGTCTTAGTCAAATATGCGTTCTCAAAGGAATATTACGTCTAATATCTGGAACAAGTTGTTATATGGTATCAAACAGACACACAGGGGAAAAATAAGAAGCAAAGGAAAAACATTTATATGTATGCAATATTATGAAATTACCTTTATATTGATATGATCATAATATGAGAGAGTTAAATACAACGAGCGCAACAAAAGTTTTTTTTCTATCCATTTCGAGAAATATTTAAAAGTGGATTCTAGTGTTATTTTTCAAAGTATCAACTCTCATTAAAAATGTACACGTGCATTCGATTAAAATAGGTTATGCAGGTAGAGTTTGAGATCATTTTTTGAGAGGCCATTAATCATTGCTTAAAATGTGTGTAACATTGAATTGTTGTCATTGAGTCTAATTTTATGTAGTTGACATATCAGTTTTAGCTACAGAAAAGAGTCACATGAGCTTAGTAGTGTTCTACACGAGTACGATTTTTCACATATGAATCTGGATCGGGACTTTTTTGATAGACGGGCCCGATCCAGAGCTAATTGACATCCGGTAGATACTTTTACAATCATAGTACAGTTTTCAAACCTTTACTTCATATGAAAAAGTATAGTATTTAGTCTCTTCTATTAAACAGCAACAAAAAGAAGAGATTATCTCAAATTCCACAAAAAAGCAAGCTATTCAGGTTTTACTTAGTGTCTTTCTGCTTCTAAAATCTGATCCATTTTGCTAAGTATATGTTTGTTTGTTGCTGATAACGCTGAAATGGAACTCAGTGTTGATGACAAACATCATAATTGTGAACACATACATGAATTATAGGGTTCCTCATCATATATATATATATGTAGTTTGAAAAAGTAAAAATATTTTAAAACATCGAGATTTCATTTCTTGCCGGATTGGATGCTGAGTATGATCTCAAATACACGAACTCGAGCTGGTTACAAGACACTAACTAGAATATCAAATTGAAATTCTGCTTTGAATCATTTTGTTTTGTTTTAGAATTCTGATGATAAATAAAGCAAAAATGACATTCTAATACATTTCATTAAGAACAGTATTTCAAACTTTTGTCTTTTATTTGTTTAATTAGTTGTATTTATAATGTCATATGTATATGTCTTTCTCTTTATTTATCATTTATAAAAATTGTTTTATTATTAAGTATTTGAAACTAATTGTTGATTTGATAAACTTTGAAAATAATCTGCACCACATTTTTTCATCCATTGAGAATCATTTATAGGTGGATAATATAAATAACATGTTGGATCGATAGGTGCTCTAGATTTATGTAATGATGGAGCTTTTAATAATGATCCAAGTGTACCCATTAAACTAACGGATACAAAAATTATAAGAAAAAGTCGATCAAAAATTAAAGCAATAAAACGCCATTCTTCAACGATCTAAATATAATAATAGAAAATACATAAAAGTAAAAATAATAATAGAACTCTCTATAGACATGTTTGATCGTTACGAAAGTTTCAATAAAAATGAACATGTCTTTCTCGAGATATTCAATTTCGAAAATCACTAGAGATTTATCATAGGAGAATGTACAACTAAATCTACTTACTTCAAAAATTGAATATTTAGAGAAAGACATATTCATTTTGCGTTAAATCTTTAAGGACTATCAAACGTGCCTATAGATACAATTTCATTAAAACGGCCATGAGTTCGAAATCGTTGCTTAGTCTCGTTGAGACCTATTCTACGCCATTATATTAAATCAAATGATATTCAACAGTTGGATATGTTTTCTCATAACTATTTTGTTAGGAATAATCAATTTCTAATAGATGATTTTCTGCATGTTTGAATTCTTCTATGACATCAACATATGATTCAATAAAAACAAAAGCAATTTTCATCGATTTCCCATTTAAACCATGCACTAGTTTCTAGAAGATGATGTCAACGATGACATTTTCTTTTCCTCATTAAGAACATAATTCCTGTGGATTTTCCTATATCAACCATGATTAGTTTTTTTGCTCTATCCAAAGTTGTAGTCAACATTCATGAAGGACAAAACAAAAAATTCCGGATTGGTCGAAAACTCACATTTTTTATCTGACTATATGTTTTTTGCAAGTAGAAATAAGTTAATTCCTTGAATTTCTAATTAGAGTTTAGAATATTTTCAGCATTGAGAATTATCGAACTCATAGAGATTCTTTATGCTGATTGTGATTTTCAATCAATTTCAAAACCTTTGTTTTCTATTTCATGAATTTCGACTACACTTTCGAATAGAACAAAAAAAAAAGAAAAAGAAACTCGTCATAATTAATATAAACAATCCACAGGAACTAGATCCTTAATAAGGAACAAAAAACAAAATGTTATCTTTGATATTATATTCTAGAAATTGATGCATTCATTCCTATTAGTTATCTGTAATTGAAATCAAAATTCAATTGACTTTTCAAGCATGAAGTTAAATATATAAAGAAAAGATTTTTTTTATATTTCAATCATTAACCAAAACAAAATTTACTTCTTTTTCATTTTGAGCATTTTCCATTTGTTCAGCAATATAAGCAATATGATCAGCTGTTATTCTTGCAATATGTCTTCGTTGATCATTTTTCCATGGAAATGTTGATGATTGGCTATCAATATTTTCCCAAGATTTTGATTTTACATATACATATCTTGGTGGTATAGGCGGTCGTTCCATAAATAGAATTTTTGGTAAATAAATTAAAAGAAATTTTCTAATTAATGGTGACATATGTGATGTTGAATGACGGCGAAAATGTACATTAAGTGTTATAATTGTTATTATGATTGATAAATTAACAATAACAATTGTAAATAATAAATATTTACCAAGTAATGGAATAACTAATGATGTTGGTGGAATAAGTTCAATAAGTAATAAATAAAATACAAGTAAAGCAACAAGAATAGAAATAGATAATGTTATTTTTTTTTTGCTATCAGATGGTAAAAGAAAAACAAGTACAGCAAGAACAGATATATTAACACATGGTACAATTAAATTAACTATATAAAATAATGGTTTTCGTTGTACAGTACATGTAAATGTTAAATCAAGAAATATTTCAACACAACATGCATATAATTTTTCATGTCGAATAGCTCGAAGATCTTTAAAAGAATTTATTTAGAAAAAAAAAATATATATCTATATAATTATTTTACTTAAAATTTCCCATTCAATAGATGGAGTATAATCTTCAAGATCCCAACCACGTTCAAGAATAGATGATTCATTATTAGTTAAAAATTGTAAATTAACAAGTGAACCCTAAGAAACCAAACTTAGCTACAATAAAATTTTCTTCTATATATATATATATATATTTACATGATATGACCATGTACCAAATTTAAGTGTACAATTTTGTATATCAAATGGATAATATTGAATATCAATAAAACAATAAGATTTATAAACCATTGGAGGATTCTATTTAATGAAAAAATTAATTTTGATTATTTTTTTTTTTGTATTCTTAAAAAGAAAATAATATCGAGAATATAAACAAACCCATTTTACGATTCCATCATATCGAATTTGTGCTTTTGATCTTGTTGTAATTTGATAATCACCATCAGCATCTGATATAGAAGAAAAAATATAAGATTTTTCATTATCTATCAACATGATATCTAATTTACTATTATAGAGAACAAGATCAGGTTTCCAAATCAATTCACTAGGAATTTGTATATATTCTACACCATCAAATTCTTCTGGTGACCATATAAAACTAAAATCTTGCCATTCCTAGATAATGTATATCACAGACATTGAATTAAAAAAAACAACAACAACAACACAGAATGACTTACATGAAGAATGTAGACATGTGTTTGCATTAATTGATTTTTTTCATCCTGAACGAAATTGATAAATTATACATTATTAATGCTTTTTGTTTTTTTTTGCTTTTCTTATTATCGTTAGAAGATTAGGTGCTATTACTAATCGTATCAGTAGTCATATATCGTTTGACAGATGGACTCTTTTATCTTGTTTACTCGTTCCTTGAATTAAGACATGTATAATCTATAGATCAATGCCTTCGCGTTCTATACTTACAATTTTTTCCACTTACAAAAGGAAACAAGTGCATCCCTATAAATTATGTCCTTTCCTTTGTTACAATTCAATTACATAATGCCGATATATATACAAGAAAAACTCAGTGATCAATTATTCTATCTATCTATATATATATATATATACATACAACATCAGCTATTTGTATAAGTTTCAGACCAATTTTGACGTTAACAAGATCAGAATTATTTCTTACTGGACGAACATTTTTATTATAATTTGACATTAAATAATGATAAAGTTCATTAGCTTTTTGACAATGAACTAAAAGAGAATATAATTAATTATTTCTTATGTTTTGATTATTAAAATTACCTAATGTTAATACAATAGTAAATATAATAAATGAATACAAAAAATATTGCTTCATCTTGAATGAACAACAACAAGTACTTTAATAATGAATGGTATCATTTGTGTTTCGATGAATCCAGCTGTGGCTATGACCTCGTAGTTTTCTTTTTCTATAGATTATAATGACGAATAATTGATAATGATCAACTTTGTAATAGTCATTTTCTCTTTTTTTCTTCTTTCCATTTGGTTTATTATGGTCTCGAATCGAAGCAAGAAAAAAAAAATGCAGTTCTTATAAGAAATAGAGACTGAAGACGAAGAAAAAAGAAGAGAGCAAATAGGGACAAGAGAAAGCGAGATGAAAGACACTCTTGTCATCAACTATAATATTGATAACAAGGGGAAAAAAAGCAATATATACAGATAGAGAACGAGTGATGACAATTCTCAAATAAGCTGAAAAAATAGCATCCCTTCGTGCATATAGTTTGTTGACTAAATTAGTCATGCAAATATTGAGAAGGCAATGTTTGCCGATGGGAATAATCAATTGCTCATAGTATTATTATTATACGAAAAAGAAATCAAAATGAAGATATTCTAACTTTTTAATCTGATTTAAATTTTTCATTACTTATCATATTAGTGTATTTCAAAAAATGAACTCTTGAATGATAATGAAACTATTAACAGAGAGAAAAAAGAAAAACAATCATTTTTGAAAAAATTTTAATTAGTTGTTTTGATATAAACTTTTGTATTACATTCTTTCTTATATTCCAAATATTTTTTTTGTTTAAAACATTAATTATAATGTGACAGAACCATCTGTTTCAATTGATATATATATTTTTTATTAGTGCATGTTTCATGAGGGTGGGTGGGTACTAAATGGTTCTTTTGCTAACATTGATGCTTCCTTTATTTCTTTTCATATTTATATAAATAATGATTGTTCATTTGTATTTATTGATGCACGAACACTTTGAAAAAAAAATTTTTTTTTTTTTTTCATTTAATCAAAACAATTTAAGAGACAATGAAAATAACTTTAGAGATCTATTGATATATTTTCAATAGTAAAACTAAAAGTATATAGAAAATAGAAAAAATTTTTTTCTATCAATAAGACGAACAGCTGCATGTCTTTTTTATCAATTATGATAAGAGATACTCTTGAGTTCTTATTGAGAAAAATCAATTTTTAATAAGTATACTTGTTACATTATGAACGAAAGATTTATATCGATATTCAAAATATCTTTTTATTTTAGAAAATAATTTAAAAAAAAAAAAAAGGTATAAATAATTAAAACCAATGAGATTGAATACAATCAGTACGAAATTCCATTTCACAAATCCAACACCATGTCATACCACACTGTGTACAAGATATTGCATTACAACCACCTATATATATATCAAATAATATTTTATTTCAATAATTAAATTATCAGATTCTCTTTTTACGAACCATCTTTTTCAGTATTTGTAGAACATCTTGGACATTTTTTGAACATAACTAAAGATGATGATTCATGTCGATGACCAAATAATTGTTTCCAAAACTAATAAAACATCATAAAACTATTCTTTGTTTTCTTTTTTTTTTCAATAATCTCCTTACTGAAAATGCTTGATTATCATTTCGTCTATCATCTTGACATGGACAAGTTCGAATCGTATCATCATCTTTCCAAAGTGCTTTACAACTTCGACAAAATGTTTTCTACAATAAAATTTTAAAGAAAAAAATCAATATCAAATAAATTTATTTTTGTCTTCTTCTTACTCCACAACCAATAGGTAATGGACAAAGTATTTTTAAATTACTTTCATCAAGTATAAGTCCACAACCACAAGATGGAATTGGACAAATAACTCCTTGATGATAAAATACATATTCTTCAGCACCAAATGTTTTATATCGTTCATACTAATATAAACAAAAAAAGAATTATTAAATCTATATTTATTTTAAATACATACATTTGATTTATCCATTAAACGAAATATATGTAATTCATGAAGAAGTGTATTTGAACAACCACATGGACATCCAAGACTATATCCAATATTTGGATCATATTTAAATTGACGACTATTAAGTTTTGTTATAGCATATTGTTTAAAACATGAAAGACATACATGATGATTACAATTAAATACAATAGTTAAATTTCTTATTAAAAAAAAAATAAATATTTAGATAAATTTAAAAAATTTTTGATTAAATTTATTTACTTATCGTATAAACAAATACAACATTCATGCTCATCTTTATTATCTTTTATTATTGATGATAAATATACATCTGGTGTGCTACTAATTTGACAAGCCATTATCTACTGAATATATTCAATTTCATTTTTTATAGTTCGAATAAGCTTTGATCTCGTGCTTGTTTTTATTTACATCAAAAACAATAAATTCTATTGGTTAATTGGATTTAACCATTGCAAATCCTTTTCGTAAGACGACGCTATCATCTTATTCAATTTGTTTAATATATCATAAACAGAAGAAAATTGATCTTATGGCCATTAACCTATAAGTTTTATATATGCAATACAATCAATAATAAATAGATTTTACGATAATTTAGATCTGATTGATTTTCAAAGAAAAGTTTCTCTATTAAGAATATCTTATTGAAAGCACAAGAAAAATAATTATTTGATTTCTTTGCAACAGTTAACGTTTTTTGGTCTAGTAATCGAATGTATATTTAATCTTGAATTACACTGAACATATGCTATATTCATCAATATATCCAATCAAGAATACTATGATTACAAAACAGATGAATAAAACTTAAAATATCGATCTAGATGTGAACTTTAAAATGATTATAAATTAGTTACGAGAAAAAGCAATATATAATTTTTTTTTGTATGACTGTTTCTTATCAACTTACTCACTACATCTTTCATGAAACTCTGACTAATTAAGTTCACTTGAACACAATATTTTTAAAGTCTAAGTATCGATTTATACTCTAATTGTTGAATCCATGTTCAATTCTAATTGAATAATTTAAGTATATTTTATAGATAAGAAACAAAACTATTAAGATTTGATTTGTATTGAATATAACGTCATTCCTAAGACTTCAATCTAGAAAATAAACTCAACAATATATAAACATTTGTGAAATTTAATATTCTATAGAACAACTGTTCCATCTCTTCATTTTTTTTTCTGTTATCAAAATATAATACTATCGAAAAATTTTCTTTTCTTTTATATTTAACAAAAAATCAAACAGAAAACGAAAACAAACAATGTTCGTACTATTATTCTTTTTCTATTCTATTAATTTTGTAACATCATTAAGTAGTCAAGAAGATTTATCAATAAAAAAATATTCTCAAATTGGTTGTTTAATATTAAAATCAGATAAACAATTTATTGTTAATCATATTCAAGAAAATTCTCGTTTACCTTATCAAACATTTTCTAGTACACATATGACAATTGAATTATGTTTTCGTCTTTGTCGACGATGGATTATATTAATGTATAATAATCAAACAAATTGTATTTGTTTATATACAATTGATAAACCATATGAATTTAATCAATATTTAGGTGAATTTTTATCCATTAATAATTGTACATCAAATGATATAAAAATTTATTCTTTAACTAATGATCTTTATATTTTTCCAACATTATTATCATCAACAAGTGATGATTGGTCATTAGATGGTTGTTATTATTTACAGGGTATTCAAACAATTCGTGTTAATTTAGGTTTAAATCATGTTGATTATATTCAAGCTATTGATTTATGTCAAAAACATTGTCAAAAATCTCGTCGTACAAATTATTTTTCATTTTTTTTATCACGTAAAAAATCTTGTTATTGTTTACCAGTTAAAATATCTCAAACAATAAAACCAATTGCATTACGAAAACCATTAATACATTGTTCATTTCTTCCATATATATGTCATGGATTTTCAAATATATGTGAAAAATATTATTTAAAAACAAATGTTGATACATTAATTAAAATTGATGTACAACATTATTGTTCAGTATCATATTTAATATCATTTGTATTTGATAGAATATTTTATATGTGTTTTACATCTATTTTACTTCAAACAGAAATGAATTTTTCAATAATAAATAATAAATATAAATGTTTACCATTAGTTATTAAAACATATGAACAATGGAATTATTTAATTGAATCATCATGGATAACACATATAAGAACATTTATTTGGATTGATCAAAATTCAAAATATATTTTTAATGATTTATTAAAATTTGATAATTTAACATTATTATCAAATAATCTTTGTATGATTATTATTCGAACAGAATCAAATAAAATTTCATATGAACTTATTCAATGTAATACTATACAATCACCTGGTTATTTTTTATGTACACAAAAACCTCTTGAATCAGCAATTCCATATGAAGAAGAATTTAAAGTGATGTATGTAAAGATATATATGTTATACCGGTATATCCAATCAGATAAGATCAGTTGTGTAGTTTAATTTGATATATTTTTTTGAAAATCATAGAAATATTATCAGACTCGGAATATCATCATTTTGGAAATAGCCGGTAGTAAGATTCGAACTAATGACTTATGAAATACTTTTGTCTAAAACATTTTAACTATTACTGTAATAACTATATTAAATCATAGAGGTGTAACATCTCGAATGACATATTTTTGGAATAGGTTTATAAGAAGTAAATTTCTTAAAACCTAAGAAGATTCTGGAAATCTTTACTGACATCCTAAAAACTGAGATTATAAACTCATATTTGCTTTCCTCTTGTATTCAGACTAAGAAATAACAATGTTTTATTTTTTAATTGTAAATAATCAATTGATATATATATATATATTTAGAAATAATGAATCAGAACTACTTGTTCATGAAATATTATCATGTCCACCAGAATTCATTTTATTTAATAAAATATGTTATTATATTCATTCATCATTTATTTATAATATTCGATCAGGTGAACGTTTATGTTATAATCAATATTCGAATAGTACACTTGTTAAATATGATTCACATGAATGGGGAAATA